ATTTTATTTTGTTCCTGTGACAAAGATATGCCCTCTACCAAGGAAACACCTTATGCCACCTTATGATGTACCTCCTCTTGTTCACTCTTCCTCCTCCACACAGAGAAAAGCAGCATCAAAACAGAAAGCTCAGTGGGAGGAATCCTGCCTGAAAAAAGATTGAGAGAGCCTAAAAATCCATTCTAATTAAGACAGCTGGATTGCCTTGAAGTTTGTGTAATCTCTTGAGCAAAAATGGTGTAAAAGGGTGTATGGTAAAGAAATCAAAGAACTGAGACTGCTTCTCTTCTCTGTGGTGTGTGTATTGACTCTACTGAAGTCAGAATAACTATACCAGAGCAAGTGAGTAGAAAATCCAGTATGTATTACTGGGCTTGATGGGAAATAGAAGGCATAATTAATGTAGCCTGGTAGTCATGTGATAACTCTTCACATACATATGGCTTGTTGTTGGATTTGATTGGCCTAATCTTTTTTTTAAGAATCTTTGAATTTATTTCTCCTAATATTGTCTTTGAGGTCTAGGGATTTGCCCATCAGCACACATAGCACAAGATGTTGTAAGAGTTTGGGAGCATGTCCAAAAATCTGGGTTTTATTTATTTTTTAAATTTTTGCTTTACTGCTCAAGATCACACTTTCAAATATATTTCTTTTACAAATGGTGTTTGCATAAATTAGTGAACAGATGTACCCTGACACAGAAACAGATGAGTTAGTTACACAGGGCACCTGCAGACATTCGGCCTGATTAGATGAGGGGGTGACTGATTCCTAAAATGGACTGAACATGGCAGGGGTTGCTAACCATCAGCATCCCAAAGGAGCAAGCCCCAACTTAGCCAATATGGCAAGATGTCAAATCCTACATTTGGGCTCCACTTCTACAAGGCAATGAAGCACATGTTGACTTAGGCACATCAGGACCTTGGGATCTCATATAAAGACAGAAAACCACCGGCACTGGGAACAGTGCTGGGTGAAGTATCAAAATGTGAGGCAGGATGCACTAACCAGAGCCCTAACAAGATAAAAAATAGAGTCCACGGCAGATGGC